ACGCCAGAGGGTTAAGGCCCCGTGATTATTTCCATTTGAACCTAGAAGTAAGAATTTTAGAGCTCCCAGTCGGAATTTTCAACTGGAATGTACATCTCAAGTTGAACTAGCCCTGACTTCACAGTCCAAGACGTCCGACTTCTGAGGCAAATATAAAACGCATCAGTCACAGAGGCGTAGAGACTAGCAATCACTGGTTGCTAGGGAAAAGTGTACTTTACCTCAGTTGGTTGGTTAGTGGTTGCTAGAGGGTACTTGCTGTTGAGCGGGCGACATTTGCGAAATGAATACTGGAACAAAAATGTCCTACGATTGATTTGGTTGCCAGTAGACTTCACAGAAGGAGCCAACTTGTCTGCAAACACTTGCCAAATATTTGCTAAGTGGTAGTAAAATTGTGAAAGATGTGATGCAAAGAACTGGAGAACATGTGCCTTCAAATTTGCACCTTATGAAACTTTTTGCCGACTGCAGCATTAAGATGGAAACTTTCCTTTGGAGGTGAATGTTATTAATTTACAGTTTGCATCTTGATTTGCACTACCTTTGTAGAATGAAGGACACACATTTAAAGCAGAGAGCAGTGTTACTTCAGTTTTTGTTGGACTTATTAGACTTTTGGTCAATTAATCTATCTAGATCTTTCACAGACATTCTGAAGGACAACACAAATATCTACCCAGTCAGATGCAGTACCTTGAGTCGAACGAAGAGGACAATGCTCCCACTGGCCTTGATGGCTCTGTACAGCTCCTCTGGAGTCAATAGCTCTACTTTTAGAGGCTGCAGTCTTCTGTTCCTGTCAGCTGTGAGGACGTCAAAAGGTTTATCAGCAGCCAGCTGAGGGAAAGTGGACTTCAGCAGTTCCACAAAGTCGGCCTCCTGCAGGCCTCGAGGACACTTCAGGTGATGAAGCGGGTACTTATTATACACTGAGAAAAAACAGAGAAGCTCCAATAGTCAGGCAGGTAGTTATCCATGAGCCAAACACAACAAACAGTATGCTGACTGTACTAACATTAACAAGAAAAAAAAGAGACAGCTCACCTTACAAGCTACTGCTGCATTAGGCCTACAGATTTTTTTTTTTAATAAATTTGATATAAAACCCAAGTGACAGCAATCCTAAAGGCAACTTTGTCCAACTTTGCCTAATTTTCCAAAATCCTGACACTGAAAGTTGAAAACCTAAACAAACACATATCTAAATAATCTAATTTTTAGGTATGGCCCTAAAAATACATACCAGTGCACATTTGTTACCAATCTGAACACAGAATGAGCAGTTTTAAATTTACCTTTAGGTGAAATCACATTGACATCCCAGTCCTGCACAAAGCGGATCCTGAGATCTACATGGGAGCTTGATTGGCTAATCCGAGGCCTACCAGGCTTCCTCCTGTCGGACTGATCCCTGGGAAACAATAACATTAGAGACAGACACCACAGCGTTACACTGGCCCCTTTACAGTTATTACCTTTATTTATTTTAATAAGCTGAACAAATGTGAGAAATATTTCTAGAAGCAGTAAAGATTAGCTTCAAATTTAAGTCCTGTCACTGCAGCAGAGTAAGACAATGTTCAGTACGTTTTTTTAATCTGCAAAAAAATACTTTTTTCTTAGACCGAAAAAGTTGGAAGAGCGAGTGTCTCTGAAGGTTCTCAGTCATCCAGGTCATCGTAGTCTCTTTCCAAGCTCCTTAGATTAAGCGAGGTTTCCTCCATCTATCATACATCTTCTACCACTGAACTGAGTTCGAGAAGCTGGAATAGCTGTCTAAGCAGAGCTCCCTGGCTACCTTCTCAACGTCTTCTGGGGGATGCCAGGGTGTTCCCAAACCAGCAGATGGTCATGTGACAAAGGCAGAGATTGCCTTTACAACCATCAAGATCCCAAGACTTCAGCAGCAGGTCCTTGAGCTCCTGAACTGGGCCCATTGTTGAACCACCTTGGAACAGTCTTC